CAAAAAAAAAAAAAAAGAAAAGAAAAGGTGAGGAGAGCCAAGCATGTGCCACCAATCTACAATCCGAAGCAAGACGACTGTGAGTTTGAGACCAGCCTGCGTTACACAGCAAGACCTTGTCTCAGGAGAAGAAAAAGGATTACAATAGCTGGCAGTATAGCTCAGTGATAGAGCAAGTGCTCTATGAATGAGGTCCTTGGTGACAATACCGCATTTTGTTTTATAGGCATTTGATAATAATAATAATCAAAGAAGACAGTATAGCAGCTTGTCCTCGTATGTATATCATCATCCTCTTATGTATATCATCATCCTCTTATGTATATGTACATCTATGAGGCTCAATAGGTGGTAGGCATGTAAATATGACTTACATACTTGTGACCCTTGCTCTCAAGAGTTCATAGTGGGTGAGGTCTGTGCTCATGAAACCCAACACAGCGTGGTCTGGGACATTTGTTAGCTAACACTGGATAAAAGAAAGAGAGTGATGTACTCTCCAAGTGTGTGTAAAGAGCGATGGGGTAGGACCCAAGGTTTTCATTTCTTTCTCATAGTAATCATGTTCATAAACACAGCAGGTGTTCAATAAATGCTTATGTGTGAATAATAACTATAAGGAACCATATTAGCAATCATTAAACATTGTGCCAAATGCCTTTCCCGATATTGTTCCAGTAACCTCTCTAACTACTCCCTGTCTGAGACAGGATTATAGAGCAGATAAACTTGCCCAGGGTCACATAGCTTAGACAAGAGGCCTGAGTCACAGATGCCACTCTGCTGGCACTACCAAGACAGGAGCAGGCTTTTTTTTTTCTGAAACTCTGTTTTAGTCTCTTTTACAGGGGATTAATAATAAATGGCAAGAGAGCACTTGGCACCAGTAAACTGCCAGGGCTTCAGGGTAGCACTGGCGTCGGGGGACATGCCATCAGCTGGGAAATTATTCATTCAGCTGCTCCTGCCAAAGCAGAATGAAGGCTCTCACTGGGGACCTGGAGAGGAAGAGCAATGATTCGGAATGAAAACCAAGCCCCCAGAGGCCAGCCTGAAATCCACACTGATAGCCTTTCCCATCTCCCTTGCGAAGATATTAGACAGGAAAGCTTTCCCCTCCTGAAAAAAAAAAGGGGGGAGAATCTGAAAGCTAAAGTGATTGAGGTTAAGTGTGTTTGTCTACAAATTGGCAAGGATTTTTTGTTTTTTGTTGTTGTTGGTTGTGGGGCCTGAACTCTGGGTCTGGGCGCTGTCCCTCAGCTCTTCAGCTCAAGGTGAGCACTCTACCACTTGAGCCACAGTGCTGCTTTTGGCTTTTTTCTGCTTATATGGTGCTGAGGAACTGAACCCAGGGCCTCATGAATGCAAGGCAAGCACTCTACCACTAAGCTACCTTCTCAGTCCATTTTGTTCTTTTTGAGAAAGTGCAAATTTCTTTGTAGAACATGCTCCTAGCTAAAACTTATAACAACTAAATACCCTGCTGATGATTATGGGAAGAAATCAATGTGTGTTCAAAGCAGACATGCCAGCCTCACCCCAGACCGGCCATGAGGAGGCTGCTGGCACAGCCATTTCATTTCACTCAAAGGGACTGGTTCCATGAGCTTACTCAAGTATTTAACAACATTCATAAAACAGAGATTCATCTACAACAGCCAGGGATTGAACTGTTGCAACAATCATTCTAATAAGACAGTGATTTCTACCTTGAGGGACAGTACAGTGCTTGCCAAGTTGGTTCTCTGAATTTCTGGCACGTTGGTGGTCAGCATTTCATCTCGGTAGGCACGTTCTGTGTACAGCCTGTAACACTTCCCTGGGCCGGTTCTCCCAGCTCTGCCAGCTCGTTGCTTAGCCTGAGCCTAGGGGTGAACATAGAAATGCAACATGGCTGTTATGTATTGCTTAACACTGCTCAGGAAGTCTGTGGAGGGAAATGGGCATGTAGCAACTAGCAAAACCCAAGATAGAGATGCTTTAACTTCCTCTAGAGCCATTTCTTTTTTTTTTTTTTTTTCTCCTTTTTTTGTCAGGCTTGAACTCAGGGCCTGGGAGCTGTCCCCAAGTTTTTCTGCTCTAGGCTAGTGCCCTACCACTTTGAGCCACAGCTGCACTTCCTGCCTGGGCTGGCTGTGAACTGTGATCCTCAGATCTCAGTCTCCTGATAGCTAGGATTACAGGAATGAGCCACCAGTGCTCAGCTTTCTAGGACCATTTCTAAGACTATGCCAAATACTTTTCCCAGCCTTCTCCACTCAGAATTTCAGGCAAGTTTGTTCAAGGCTGGCAACTGCAAGAAAGAAAGATGAAGAAATGAGAAAGCAGAAAAGTAACAAAATACAGTTACAACCAAAACTGTAAAAAAACTAAATTATATTAATCATACAATGATTCGTATATGTGTGCTGGTCCTGAGGCTTGAATTTAGGGCCTGGGCCACATCTCTCTGAGCTCTTCAGCTCAAGGTGAGCGCTCTACCATTTGAGCCACAGTGCCACTTCTGGTTTTCTGGTGATTAATTGGAGATAAGAGTCTCATGGACTTTCCTGCCCGGGCTGGCTTCGAACCACAATCCTCAGATCTCAGCCTCCTAGCTAGGATTACAGGTGTAAGCCACTAGCACCCAGCTTGGGCCACGCCTCTTGAGTTCTTTTGCTCAAGGATAGCTTTCTATCACTTAAGGCACAGCTGCACTTCTGGCTTTTTTTGTGTGCTTAACTGGAGATGTGTCTTATGGACTTTCCTGCCCAGGATGGCTTTGAAGTGAGACCCTCAGATCTTATCCTCCTGAGTAGCTAGGAACAAGTGTGTGAGTCGCTGATGCCTGGCTATTCTGCACCACTTAAAAAATCATGTTTGTACTGGTAGATCACACCCATAATCCTAACTACTCAAGAGGCTGAGATCTGATGATCATGTGTGGTTTGAAGCCAGCTCAGGCAGAAAAGTCTGTGAAACTCTTATCTCCTTAAAATTAACCAGAAAAAAATCTATAAGTAAGCCTGGTGCTGGTGGCTTATGCCTATAATCCTAGCTACTCAAGAAGCTGAGATCTGAGGATTGCAGCTTGAAGCCAGCATGAGCAGGAAGTCCATGGAACTCATCTCCAAATAATCACAAAAAAGCTGGAAGGAAAGCTGTGGCTCAAGCTGTGGACTGCTAGCCTTGAGCAAGAAAGCTCAGGAATAGCACCCAGGCCTAGCACCCACACACAAAAAAACATGATCAGAGAGGTGGCTCAAATGGTAATTATCCAGTAAGCACAAGACCCTAAATTCGAACCCCAGTACAGAAAGGGAAAAAAATGCTGATAGGGGCCAGGTACCAATGGCTCATGGCTGTAATCTTACTTGGAAGGCAGAGATCAGAAAGCTAGCAGTTTAAGGCCATAAACACAGGACTCTATCTTAACAGCTGTACAACATGGCATATGTCTGTCATCCTAGCTTTTGGGCAGCATAAATAGGAGGATCATGAGTATAATAAGGAGGATATGGACATATACTTAAGACCCTATTCAAAAAATAATGAAAGCTAGCCGGGCGCTGGTGGCTCACGCCTGTAATCCTAGCTACTCAGGAGGCTGAGATCTGAGGATCGAGGTTCAAAGCCAGCCCGGGCAGGAGAGACCGTGAGACTCCTATCTCCAATAAACCACCAGAAAACCAGAAGTGGCGCTGTAGCTCAAGTGGTAGAGCGCTCGCCTTGAGCTGAAGAGCTGAGGGACAGCACCCAGGCCCAGAGTTCAAGCCCCACGACCAACAACAACAACAAAAAAATAGTAATAATAATAAAAGCTAAAACAACTAGGAGACATGGCTCAAGTGATAGATACTGCCTAGCAAGCTCAAGGTCCTGAGTTCAACCCCTAGTTTACCCTAGCTCCCCAAAATACGTGACCAGGATAATTACCATTTGAGCCACCTCTCTGATCATTTTTTATTTTATTTTATTTTTATTTATTTTGTACATATAACTGAGGCAGGCTACATAATTACCAAAGAAATATATATATATGTAATATATATAATATTTGTATATTTATACATATTATATATATAAAAATTATGAGTTTTTGGTATCTCAGATATTTGTAGCTTGGTACTTAAAAAAATACATTTTCACCAACATTTGGGTTATCTATATGCTACAATCCAGTTTTGGTTTTTTTTTCCCCTTCCTTCTTGTGGTGCTGGGGATAAAGGCCAGGACCTCACACATGCTAGACAATCTTTTTTTTTTTTTTTTTTGTCGGTCGTGGGGCTTGAACTCTGGGCCTGGGCGCTGTCCTTCCTCTCTTCAGCTCAAGGAGAGCGCTCTACCACTTGAGCTACAGCGCCACTTCCGGTTTTCTGGTAGTTTATTGGAGATAGGAGTCTCACGGTCTTTCCTACCCAGGCTGGCTTTGAACCTCGATCCTCAGATCTCAGCCTCCTGAGTAGCTAGGATTACAGGTGTGAGCCACCAGCGCCCGGCTCTTTTTTTTTTTTTTGGGTCCGGTTGTGGGGCCTGTACTCTGGGCCTGGGTGCTGTCCCTCAGCTCTTCAGCTCAAAGCTAGCGCTCTACCCCTTGAGTCACAACGCCACTTCCGGCTTTTTTTTCTTTTTGCTTATGTGATGCTGAGGAATCGAACCCAGGGCCTCATGCATGCAAGGCAAGTGTTCTACCACGGAGCCAACTTCCCAGCCCTAGACAATATTTTGAAATACTACTTTAGACTACAAACAAATATGAAACCTTCCCTTCACATAATAAAAGATTTCAGTATGTGAAGTAAGTTTGAAGTACAGAACCATAAAACATTTCAGAAAGGCACTAACCCAGATTTTCAGAAACCACTGGTAGAAGCCACCATACCTGAGAAATAGGCGTCACCACCAGCTGGTCAATCCCTGTCTTAGAATTGTAAACTTTCTGCTTCACAAACCCAGGGTCCACCACATAGTAGATGCCATCGATAGTCAGTGATGTTTCTGCAATGTTGGTGGCAATCACGACCTAGGAGGACAAAGTAACAGCTGGAGTGACCTGAGTGTGCAGCAGCACATCTGAACTCAGACATTTCCTGAGGAAGTATGCTCCTTCTCTAGAAAGTTTGGATGCCATTTAATTCTAGCTCAGTTTCCAAAGCAGAAGATGAGCTGCCTTTATCCAAAGGGTTAGGTTGGAGAGAGGCTGAGACCTGAGAGAAGCAGGCCAGGAAAGAGCTAAGGCTGATCACAGCCAATTTCATTTGGTGTAAATGGCTACATAGCTCGTTGTCTAGATCCAATGTTGATTATTACAATTTTAATTTTCTAGCTCCCTGGGAAAGCAGATATTTCCTGGCATCACATGAGCCAGTGCAAAATGAGATTTTCTTTTTCCCACCGAGATATCTGGACTACAAAATAGGCTATATTATATATGTATATATATACACACACACACATACACACACACGTGTGTGTATATACATATATGTGTGTATGCATGTGTATATGTGCGTGTGTGTGTATGTGCGTGTGTGTTTATGAAGAAAAAAAAGATTTTTTTTCCTGATCATAAATGAAGCATGAGGTGACAGATCAATTTCAGGATTTGTGTGTGTGCAGCAGTCCATGTGATCTACAAGTGTGTTCTTCTACCCAGAGGATCAGCTTAAAAAACACAACTGCTGGGCTGGGAAGTTGGCTCAGTGGTAGAGTGCTTGCCTTGCATGCCTGAGGCTCTGGGTTCGATTCCTCAGCACCACATAGGCAAAAAAGAAAAAACCTGGAAGTGGCGCTGTGACTCAAGTGGTAGAGCACTAGCCTTGAGCTGAAGAGCTGAGGGACAGCGCCCAGGCCCAGAGTTCAGGCCCCACGACAGGACCAAAAAAAAAAAAACACTACTGCTTGGAAAAATCATTGCTAGAAAGTACCAAAATATTTCACTCCATACCAACATCTTACTGGCCCTGCCACAGAATTGCAAAGGCCCTGCTTAGAAAATGCAACCATCAGGGATGGGACAGAGGAAGAACTCACCAACTTACCCCCAAACCTGCTCCTCCTTTACATGCCAACTAACTGCCCTAATCTGATCATTACACACTGAATATTTATATCAGCATATCACAATGTACCCCTAAAATTTGAAAAATTATGTGTTAACCAAAAATAACAAATCAAATGGAGGAAAAACACAAATCACCCGGCTGACCAGGTAGACAAGGCTGGACCAGTCTATAGCCTCACATACAAGGCTTGCAGACTCCTTACACAATTCCTACCATGGTTGGCTGCATACTGTACAGCCAGGTGATTTCAGCAAGTTTAGCCCACTGTTACCTTTCTGCTGCCAGGAGGAGCTGGGTCAAAGATCCGGGTCTGCATCTCACTGGGAAGAGCAGAGTACACCGGAAGGATAATTAACTCTGGAACATCAGGTCCCAAGGATTTCATTCTTTCATATAGGATCTCACAAGCAGTATCAATCTCTTCCTGACCAGTCAGGAAGACCAAAATATCACCTAGGAAGAGAATGGAAAATTTACTGTGTGTGTATATCAACATGGATGTTTATGTGTTTAAGAGATGGGTCCTACTATGTTGCCTGAGCTGGCCCTAAACTGAACTCAAGTAATCTTGCTTCATCATCCTGAGTAGCCAGGCCTCCAGGTGTACACCATCAGATCTGGCATAGTGTTCTATACAAAGGCTACAGCACATTAACAGATCTCTAAGTAACAAAAAATAGACACTCATATTGTGGCCTCTAAGTAAACCAGGAAGTTATTATTAGTTCATGTTTAAATAGGCACACTTGGCTGGGAAGATGGCTCAGTGGTAGAGTGTTTGCCTTGCATGCATGAGGCCCTGGGTTCAATTCCTCAGCACCACATAAGCAGAAAAAGCCAGAAGTGGCACTGTGGCTCAAGTGGTAGAGCTCTAGTCTTGAGCTGAAGAGCTGAGGGACAGCACCCAGGCCCAGAGTTCAGGCCCCATGACTGACAAAAAATAAAATAAAATAAAAATAAAAAAAATAGGCGCACTTAAACCTAGGCATCATTCTTTATATTTTTCACACCCACAATCATTTCAAACACACAATCCTGAAACTTACAGGATTTAAAAGGCATTTCTGAAAAGTTTAGCAAACAAAATATCCCCATAATTAGGAGTTTTAGCCTAAAAGAAAATGGAAACCAGGTCTTCTCCCTCACCTGGTGGCTCAGTTAAGTGGATCTGCATGACAGTAATGAGGCTGGCATCCAGGTAATCTGTCTCAGGTTCCTTTGTGTACAGTATTTCCACTGGGTAAGTTCGGCCTGGGATGGTGAAGATGGGTGCTTCATAGAAGTACTGAGAAAACTTCACTGCATCCAAGGTAGCTGAAGTGACAATCAGCTTCATGTCCTGCCGTTTCTGAACTGTCTAAAGGGAAATACGATGTGATTACTAAAAAGGACCACTCAAAAGGTACAGGAATTCCAACACTAGTCCCAGAAACCAGCTCTAACAGCTAAAAGGGTCTGAGACCACCTACTTACCTTTTTCAGCAACCCAAAAAGCACGTCTGTGTGAATTGTTCTTTCATGGGCCTCGTCCAACATGATGATGGCGTACTGAGTGAGGTCAGGGTCAATCAGGCATTCCCTGAGCAACATGCCATCTGTCATGTACTTGATGACTGTCTCGGGACTGGTGCAGTCCTCAAATCGAATGGTATAGCCCACCTAAAGCAGAACAGAAGTAGAAAATCTAAGATACAAACCTCTCCTTCAAGCAATCATCAGGTAAAACTTCAACCCAGCCCAACTGGTACTCATAATCTTTTTATTTATTTATTTTGGTTGGTTGTGGGGCTTGAAATCTGAGCCTGGGCACTGTCCCTGAGCTCTTCAGCTCAAGGTAAGCACTCTAACACTTGAGCCACAGTGCCACTTCCGGTTTTCTGAGTGGTTTATTAGAGATAAGTATCTCACAGACTTCTTTCTTGGGCTGCCTTTGAACCTTTGAACCACAATCCTCAAATCTCAGCCTCCTAAGTAGCTAGGATTACAGGCATGAACCACCGGCACCTGCTACTCACACTCTTAATATAGAAATTTGACCAAGATTACAGAGATTTCATCTAGTAAAGTCTGCTTTGGACTTGACCCTGAATAGACCACTGACAACAATGAAAAGCTCTCATTATTTCTGATTTCTTACTGCATCCAACATGGCTAAAGTGAAAATCAGCTTTCTCATTTCTCAGAGAGAAATCAGGAAAAACAAACAAAAACTATCATTCTTACTTTACAGATGAGGGATTTGTACCTTCATACTTTTTTTCTGGCATTTCCACAGCAGCTTTACTAATCACTTACCTCTTGACCTAAACAACAACCAAATTCCTCTGATACTCTTTTGGCCACGGACATGGCTGCCACTCTTCTTGGCTGTGTACACCCAATCTTGCCTCTGGAAGTGTAGCCTGCCTCTGCTAGGTACTGGGTAATCTGCGTTGTCTTCCCAGATCCTGTCTCTCCAATAACAATTAGGATCTGATTGTCATGAACAGCCTGAAAGCAACAAAATGCAAATAGATCCATTAAAATTTGTCACGCCTTATTCTGGATTAAATTACTAATGCTTCTGTTCAACATTAGATTAAATTACTAATGCTTCTGTTCAACATTAAATTAGAAATTACAAACACACCCATATAATGAACCCCATGGAAGTGTTTCTACCCATTGCCACTCCCAATCTCTCACAGCTCTCCCCATAAAGTTATCTTTTTCTTATTTCTGTACTATTTGTAACAACAAAAGGTTGTAATCAGCCTACAGGTCTATTAACATAGGACTAGCTACATAAACATACCTACATAAAAGCCTGAAAAAGCATTTTAAAAAGGGGCTGGGTGGTGGTTGCTCATGCCTATAATCTGAGCCACTCAGGAGGCTAAAATCTGAGGACTGTGGTTCAAAGCCAGCCCAGGCAGGAAAGTCCATGAGACTCTTCTCTCCAACTAACTACCAGAAAATCAGAAATGGAGCTGTGGCACAAGTGGTAGAGTGCTAGCCTTGAGCAAAAGAGCTCAGGGACAGAGCCCAGGGTCTGAGTTCAAGCCCCACAACAAACACCACCACCACCAACAACAACAAAAAGGAACTGGGGCATAGATCAGTGGTAGAGTGCTTGCCTAGTGTGTCTAAGACACTGGGTTGGATTCCCAGAATCCCAAAATAAAAACATAAAAAAAGAAAATCTGAGATACATTAATAAGTAAAAAAGCAAGACACCAAGCATATATATAATCTGCTGTCATCTACAAATATATACTGTATATATAAAATGCGTGTGTAGCACATATTTATACTTGTTTATACACTGTGTTGGTTGGATATGGTTGAAAAAATTCACTGAAGCTAGTAAACTTGGTTCGATGCTCTTATACACAAAACTCTAAAAGGCAGAAATAAGCAGCTAAAAAGCAAAGTCTGTGCCAATATGGATTCAGAATCTACCCTCTACTTATCCCTTTTGTGGTACTCAGGTCTTTATGCTTGCTAGGCAAGTTCTCTACCACACCTCCAACCCCTTTTTGCATCAGTTATTTTCAAAGTAGAGTTTTTCATTATGCTAGTGAAGGCCTGGGCTGTAATCCCCTTTAACTTGTGGTTCCCCATGGTGCTTCCATGCAAGGTATCTGGTGTATGAAGCCAAAGTGCCCAGCCATTGGTTAAGATGGGAGTCTCTCCAACTTCTTTTTGCCTGATCTGGCCTGGAACTGTGAGCTCCCAGTCTGTGCTTACCAAGTAGCTAAGATGAATAGGCTTGAGCCACCTTGCAGTGGCTGTTCCTTTTTTTTTTTTGGTAGGTTATGGAGCTTGAACTCTGGGCCTGGCACTGTCCCTGAGCTCTTCAGCTCAGGGCAAGCACTCTACTACTTGAGCCACAGTACCACTTCAGGCTTTTTCTGTTTATGTGGTACTGAGAAATTGAATCCAGGGGTTCATGCATGCTAGACTAGCACTCTACGACTAACTAAGCCATATCCCATATCCTTTTTTGGAAGAACCAGTTCAAAGAAGAACATACCTACCTAGCCACTTTCTGTTCTAAAATGTCATTTCTCTTGGAAAACAGCCCTCCCCCCATATATCACAGAAGGGCTTCCCACCTGGACCAGCTGCTCCTTCAGTTTATAGATGGGCAGGCTCTCCCTCTGCTCGAGGATGGACATCTGGGTCTTTTTCCCGTAAGAAGCTTTGTTGCCCCCAAAGGCATGCTTCTTCCACTCGGGAATGTCATTGGGCATCATTCCAATACCCCTCATGTTGGCAGCAATCTGCCTGCCTTCCGCTGGAAGGGAAAGGAGACAACTTAGTACTACCCTCAACATGCCACAACATACCAGGGTAAACAACGAAACAGTAGATGGGAACCACATATGTGGTATTTCATTCAGCCTGATCCTTGAACAGTGGTGCTAAGACACTAATATGAAGAAAAGAATGGAGAGGGAGAGACAGGGCAAGGAGGGAAAGAGCCTAATAAATGGTATCATATACTTGTAATGCCCCCCCCCAAAAAAGAGAAAGGTTAGTATACAGAAGTGAAGACCCAATCACTTGAATCCAGCTAGATTCTTTAAATAAATAAACAACAACAAAAAACCCTACTATACTGATTTCTCTTTAATAGAAATCTTCCACCTTAAAAAAAAAATAACTACTCTACTGGGCACCAGTGCTCATGCCTGTAATCCTAGCTACTCAGGAGGCTGAGATTTTAGGATCATGGTTCAAAGCCAACCCTAGCAGGAAAGTCCATGAGACTCTTATCTCCAATTAACCACCAGAAAACCAGAAGTGGCACTGTGGCTCAAATGGTAGGCACTTGCCTTGAGCTGAAGAGCTCAGAGGCAGCACCAGGCCCAGAGTTCAAGTCCCACAACAAAAACCAACCAAACAAAAAAAAACTGCTTTACTGAAATGCAAATCATATACTATATCCCCTTTTCCAAGTGTCCAACTTGGTGGTTTGTTGTATATTCACAATGACAGTTGTGCAAACATCACCATTATCTAATTTTATTTGATTTTCTTTATTACTTTGTGTGTGTGCTGTACTTGAGATCAGGGCCTTGCACTCTAGCCCAGCCTACTTTCTCACAGCTGGCACTCTGTCACTTACACCTCTATTCCAGCTTTTTTTTTTTGCCAGTCCTGGGGCTTGAATTCAGGGCCTGGATACTGTCTCTGAGCTTCTTTTGCTCAAGGCTAACACTCTACCACTTGGGCCACAGCACCACTTCCAGCTTTTTCTGTTTATGTGGTACTGAGGAATCGAATCCAGAGCTTCATGCATGCTAGGCAAGCAATCTACCACTAAACCACCTTCCCAGCCCTCTAGTCCAGCTTTTTGATGGTTAATTGAATATGGAGTTTCAAGGACTTTTCTGCCTAGGCTAACTTTGAACATGTTCAAGTCTTTTTTTTGGGGGTCCAGTCATGGGGCCTGAACTCGGCCTAGGCACTGTCCCTCAGCTCTTCAGCTCAAGGCTAGCGCTCTACCACTTGAGCCATAGCACCACTTCTGGCTTTTTTTCTTTTTGCTTATGTGGTGCTGAGGAATCGAACCCAGGGCCTCAGGCATGCAAGGCAAGCGCTCTACCACTGAGCCCTCAAGTCTTAGTCTCCTAAGTAGCTAGGAATATAGATACGTGTCCCATGCCAGTAATCTTATAAAATTTTCATCAATCTAAAAAGAAATCTCAGCTGGGACCCTGCACATATTCCCCCTCTGAAAGACTAACTCCTATGTATCCTTTATCATTCCTCTCAATCTCTACAGGTAGTAATATCCTATAACCTGTAGTTCTACCACAATACTTCATACAGCATTCATCAGGAAATAATTTGCTATTTGGTAATTATCTAGTTAATGTCCACCTCCCTTACTAAGTTGTAAGCCTCATCACAGCAAGGATCATGTCTAATTTGCAGCTTTCTCTCCAGGCAACTAACACAACTATTGACTCTGTCCAATAGTTAAGAATTATAGCACAAAAAATTACAAGAAAGGGAAGTTTTAATATTATATTGTCTGTTGTATTTTTTTGGGGGGGGCAGGCTTGGGGCTTTAACTCAGGGTCTGAGTGCTGTCCTTGAGCTTTTGTGCTCAAGGCTAGGACTCTACCACTTGAGCTACAGCTCTACTTTCAGCTTTCTGGCAATAAATTGGAAATAAGAATTTTACAGATTTGTCTGCTTGGGCTGCCTCTGAACCCATGATCCTCAGACTCAGACTCCTGAGTAGCTAAGATGATAGGTGTGAGCCACTGCCACCGGCACCCAACTTTTTTTTTTTTTAAACAGGAATTGAACTCAGGGCTTCACCCTTGCTAGGCAAGTACTCTACCACTTGGAACATAGTTATGTGTCCAGCCCCTAAATAATTATCATTTTTCCCCCTGTTTATTTGGTACTGAGGAATCAAACCCAGGGCTTCATGCATGCTAAGGTCGCACTCTATAACTAAGCCACATTCCTATTATTTTTAGATAATATCATCTTTTTTGGTGGTGGTGGTGGTAGTCATGGAGCCTGAACTCTGGGCCTGGGCACTGTCCCTCAGCTCTTCAGCTCAAAGCTAGTGCTCTACCACTTGAGCCACAGCACCACTTCTGGCTTTTTCTGCTTATGTGATGTTGAGGAATCTAACCCAGGGCTTCATGCATTCAAAGCAAGCACTCTACCACTGAGCCACCTTCTCAGCCCCAGATAATATAATCTTTAGAACTAAATTTAAAAGGTTATTTAAAAGAATAATTCAAGCCACTCCAATTATTTCACCAAAGTTATTTAAACATTTGTTTTAAAGATCTGCTTATAAAATATATTAAAATTCTGGTGCTGGTAGTTCATGCCTGGTAACTACTCAGGAGGCTGAGACCTAAGGAATGCAGTTTAAAACCAGTCCAGGCAGGAAAGTCTGTGAGACTTTTATCTCCAAGTAAACAACAAAATGTGCTAAGGGGAGCTGTGGCTCAAGTGATAGAGCACCAGTCTTGAACAAAAAGCTAAAGGATAGCATCCAGACCCTGAGTCTTATTCCTAGTACTAGCATACACACACATATACACACTCTCTTACACAAATAATAACAAAAAAAACCCAGCAGGCTGGGATTATGGCTCAGTAGTAGAGCACTTACATACCCAGCATAACCAAGATCTGGGGTCAATCCCCAGTACCACCAAGAAAAATATAGCAAACCAACATGCTCTAAGACAAGGGGAAAACTGAGGCTACATTTTCAGTACATGTTGGCACTACTGTGTCTACATACACATAAAGGCTCATATTTCTGAACAAGACCCACAACCTCCAACGGTCTTACCATCAGGCAAAGGATCAACCCAGTGTTTGTTGAGTCCCATGGGAATAGAATCCATCTCCGCTTCCCGCTGGGCTTGCTTGAGTTCCCGCCTTTCCTTGGCCAAAGCACTCTGCATCATGGCAGCCTGGGAGAGGGAACCATCTGGGTTCTGCAGCAACAGAGAGGAAAGCAACACACATTAAGTGCCTAGGAAATAAAGGCAGGTGGTTAAGCCACTATGATATAAAGTCTTAGACCACAGATGAAACACAGTTCTTATCAATCAACCAGACTACATGAAAGCAATGGATAAACCATAGCATACACAAATAACACAAAAAAAACCAACTAAAGGAACTGGGATTTTTAACTTGAAAATGAAAAAAGAGAATTAGGAGCATTATTACTTTTACTTATTTATTTACTTAGTTTTTTGCCTGTTGTGGAGCTTGAACTCAAGGCCTGGGAACTGTCCCTGAGCTCTTTTGTTCAAGCCAAGTGCTCTAATACTTTGAGCCACAGTTCCACTTCTAGTTTTCTGGTGGTTAATTGGAGATAAGAGGATCATGGACTGCCTGAGCTGGCTTCAGTCTCAGCCTCCTGAGTAACTAGGATGACAGATGTGAGCCATTAGCACCCAACTTAACATTATGACTTTTAAAAGTTAAGAACTCAAGAAACGGATAGGAGGTGCTAGAGGCATGGACCAAGTGGTAGAGTACCTGCCTAGCTGTCATAAGGCCCAAGTTCAAATAAGGAAGGGGGAAAGGGGGAGGGAAAAGAGGGAAAGAGAAAGGCTGGGAATGTGGCTTAGTGGTAGATGCTTGCCTAGCAGGCATGAAGCCCTGGATTCAATTCCTCAGTACCAGAAAAAGCTGGAAATAGTGCTGTGGTTCAAGTGGTAGAATACTAGCGTTGAGCAAAAGAAGCTCAAAGACAGTGCCTATGCCCTGAGTTCAAGCCCCAGATCTAGAAAAAAGAAAAGAGAGAGAGAGAGAGAAAGAAGAAAGGGGTAAGGGGAAAGGAGGTAGGGAGAAAGGGAAAGGAGGAATGGAAGGGTAAGGGAAGGGGCAAGAATTCTGTTATATGACCCTAAGAACTTCAGACAAATGTGGCACTCAGAGATCTCAGCTCCAAGAGCTAGTAATCAGCTCCATCTAGAGATGGACTATATTTCCTTCAGGGCTGGTCTACTCCCCTACACTAACCAGAGTGCCAGCTGATGTCAGATGACCTCAGGGGAAAGACAGACACCGCAGGAATTGCAGGGGTACACTAGAAGTGCCATATAGGTGCTGGTCTGGAAGGCTTTTAAATGCTGTCTCTTCCTAACTGCTGTGTGCATTCTGATTTGTATTTTCCTCACAGCTTTGTCCTCCACCATACCCAGTGCTATTCCTTTTGATGGGGACCAGCCACTATTGGCAAGTGAACCTCTGAATGTTGCCTTGGAATCTGCAAGATCATTCATTATTCAAACCCTAAGTAACGTGGACAAAGAAAAGATGACAGATGAAACTCTATGCTTTTTTTTATCTATGCTTTTTCCCTAAACAAACTAAATGAATGTAAACAAAACTTAACCAGGCAAAAGCAGCAGAGCTAGGCCAGTCTCCACACATTCTAGGTCCTAGCTAGTAGCTAGGTGGCCTGAGTTCTGCTATACAGATTGAATAACATGATCTGTTACCTGAAGAAAAGAAGTTCATTGGTATTTCCAGGTAAAAGTCCCAGTACTTCTTACCTTAACAATTTTGATGGGGCTCATGTCCATGCTTTGCTTGGTGTGACCTCTCAGGAATGGAGGCTCTTCCTCAACCAGTTCAATCTCAAGGTCCTCATCTAAAAGTCCAGCAAAAAGAAAATTAGGAGCTGAGAATGTGGCTTAGTGCTAGAGTGCTTGCCTAGCATGCATGAAGCCCTGGGTTCTATTCCTCAGTACCACATAAACAGAAAAAGCAGGAAGTGGAGCTGTGGCTCAAGTGGTAGTGTGCTAGCCTTAGCAAAAGAGGCTCAGGGACAGTGCCCAGGCCTTGAGTTCAAGCCCCAGGATTGGCCAAAAAAAAAAAAAATTAAAAAGAAATTTAGCCATAAACAAAAGAGAACCAATAATTTTCACCAAATGAAGATCAACTATCTTTATCAAAAGGACAGCAATGGCTGGAGACTAGTGGCGCATGCCTAAAATCCTAACTATTCAGGAGGCTGAGATCTAAGGATCACAGTTTGAAGCCAGGCAGCTCATACAATTCTAAGAGACTCTTATATCCAATTAATCGGCAAAAAGCCAGAAGTGGAAGCATAGCTCAAGTAGTAGTAGTGGTAGTGCAGCCTTGAATGAAAAAGCCTGGTACCAGCATAACACATATACCCAAAAGACAGTGATACAAGTAAAACTCTAACCTAGTGAATGTCCCTCCCACTTTCAAGACCCTAAAGCCATTTCTAGGGCATTTGTGATGCTCCATAACACAAACTAATTAGACCTATTTTCAAAAGAAACCTAGTTTCAAAAGAAACTAAGCTTGGGGAAAATACTATTCTGACATTCTAATTTGTTTCAAGACATTTGCCATTCAACCTCACAGGGAATAATCCTTAATCCATATAGTCTAGGCAACACCTTTTTGTTTTTGGTGGCAGTCCTGGGGCTTGAACTCAGGACTTGGGTACTGTCCCTGAGCATTTTTTGACCTCAACGCTAGTACTCTACAACTTTAGGTCACAGCTCCATTTCTAGCTTTTGGGTGGTTAATTGGAAAAGCCAAAGAGTCTCATGGACTTTCATGCCCAGGGTAGCTTTGAACTGTAATCCTCAGATCTCAGCCTCTTGAGTAGCTAGGATTATATTTGTGAGGCAATGGCATGGAGGGAACAATGTTTTTAATTGTTGGGTAAGTGGACAATGCTAAATACCAGTAAGGTATTATGTATCAAAGTGTACATTATTACAAAAGTTTTAGGAAACAATTTGGAGCTGACTTATAAAATAAACACACATTTTTCCTACTACTCAGTAATTTCCTGTATAAGAAAGCACATATATCTTAGTATATAGCAACATGCACTAATTGGCAAATATAGAGGTCTCATAATAGTCTTATATGAAAAGGCTTAAGAGGGGGGGCTGCGAATGTGGCTTAATCATAAAGTGCTTGCCTTGCAAGCATGAAGCCCTGGGTTTGATTCCTCAGCACCACATAAGCAAAAAGAAAAAAGCCGGAAGTGGTGCTGTGGCTCAAGTG